TTATTTTACAGTTAAAACATATTTTATTAAATAAAGTCTAATGTTTTAACTAATCATGGATCCCTTTAAGGTTCTTTGTGGTTTTGAGTGATTTTTGGCCCTCCTAGGCCCCATTTACAGGGTTATTGATGGTTTTTGGTAGTTTAGGGTAACAGTACTGCTGCCAAACTAAAAATCCAACATTGCTGCCACAGCTAAAATGCTACATTTACCACTTTTTTGACACATTTGCCTCAAATTTGGGATGGTAATTCGTCAGAGCAATCTCCAAACAACCGTATATTCAAATCTTATAAAAACAATTTGTTAAAAGGAGTTTGGCACGTGGCAATCCTCTCGAACTATTCTAGCCGGCAGGAGCGTGCTCGTTACGTCATCATGCTCCCGGCGCGTCTGAACAGGAAGCAGGTGGAAACTAAATGATTTCTGTTGTTTTTACGGTAAATTTACTGGATTTACTTGTGTACAGTGAGTTACTGTAGATTTGAACTGTGTGGAAACAGCAGCACAGAAACAAATCTCCTTGTTTAAAACAAATAAAGAAGTCATGGAAGAGTTTTTACTTTGTTTTAGGTGAAATATGGAGGCTAAAAGTGGTAAATGTTGGTTTGTCTGTGCACAAAACTGAATAAAAAGTTATAAACTGGTTTTTAGTAAATGTTTCTGTTGTATTCGATTTATTAATACAATAAAGTGATTTATCTGATTCAAAGATCCTGTCAGCTAAATAATGAATGATTTCTTCATAGTTTCAGATCTGATCAGTTGATCACATATTAAATTATATTTTATTGACACCAGTAATTAAATGAYTGTGTTTTGTGGTTTCCCCTCAGAGGAGGGTGCGGACCCTCAGTCGGTGCTGCAGGAGGCCACAGACCTGCTCCACACCAAGTTCGGGTTCCACAGCATCACCATCCAGGTGGAGCTTTACTCTGAGGACATGAGCCACTGCTCCTGCTGTCAGGACCCCAGAGACTGAGACCCAAACTGGRCCCGACTGGACCCGGACTGGCTCAGACCTGCTCCCACAACATTCGGTTCTGGTGGACCGCTGACAACTGTGGTAGATTTACAAGTTGGCTTTAAAATCACAAAAACATCCAGGTTGAAGAGTTTTATTTAAAGTCCACCCGAAAGTCTCACTTTTATAAAAAAATGTATAAAAGTCTGGAGCATTTTCACTAAAAAGATAAACAAAAGAATAAACCTTCAATAGAAAATTATTTAAAATCATTTAAAAAATAATTTTAAAGTCTATCAGTTTTATCTGTTCTATCGGCTCAATAAAAAAACATACATATTTACACATTTGCCACATTTTACTCATAGTTACCTGCTTATGTAAACATCATAATTAGCAGATTTACCAAGAACACATGGGTAGAGTTATGTCGTTTAACACAAACTTGTCTCCATCATCTGTGCTGAGCTTTTATGAATATACAGTACGTGCAGGATGTTTGATAAAACTGTGTAAAGTTGTCCTACGAGGAAGAAAATCTTAAAACCCTCTGTCAGAATAAATATGGTGGTTCACAAAGTGCAAATACTTCAAATAAATACATTCATAAGCAGTCAAAACGTAAAGCTGTAATTATCCTAAGTTGAAGTATAAAACAGTATTTGAGTGACAGCATTACAAGTTTTAAGAGAACCATCACAGAAGTGGGCAGATCCCTATTTCTGCTTTAAATGACTCATTTTTGTTCAATATTCAACTTAAATCTAGACTTAAATCAAGAACTTCCCTCGTCTRTATGTAAAAAGATTATGGTCAGAAAAGTTCGGTTAGTTTCTGATGCAAAGTTTGATCACGATGAGGAAGAACCAAAACGTCCACTTTGTTGGTTTTCACTAGATGATACGTGACCCATCATATTGAAATGAGGATTAAGTCAAATTTGGTCAGAATGAAGTACCGTATTTATTCATGTATAATACGTAAAATTTAATCCATAAAATCATCCATAAAGTTGGGGTGTAGTACTATACTTGGATAAATATTTTTACTTATGTATTTTAACTGAAATATCGGCTTCATTCACAAAATGCCTGAGTCCGGAAATGAGACCGCGTCGTAAAAATCAGTTGAAGCGAGCTCACCTCTGACACTCCTCCGTGCTTCAGAGTGAGATAATAACAGATCCAAGCAGGTGAYATGATGTGAAAAAAGAGAGAAAAAAGTATTCCTTCACCTCAGTAATGATAACAAACTAATGACATTAGYGTGTGACCGAGCCGCTCCTGGAACAACAACAAACACATGTTCGTCTGTAATGGCTGCCGTCTACCGGTGTTCTGAAAAAGTTTATATCCCTGAAAAAATGTTTCCC